ACTTTAGATAAAAATCATAGAATTTCCAACATTGAGAATAACACGCAGATTCCACGAAATAAAAAGTATTGTATGAAAAAAGCAGTGCAAAATTACCGCGCAATAATAACAACACAAAATCACTAATGTCCAGTGAATATGCGTAAAAAGGCCCCAGTACTTTACTACTATATTAACTAGTTAAACCACTTAAACTAGATTGTGCAGTTCATGCAATGGAACCATTTAAGCTAGTTATGCATTGTGTGCAGCTGAAGTATTTGTGCAGTTGAACTATTTCAACTACTTCAACCAATCAAGAACGATTTTGCAATCTGTGCAGTTTAACTGTCTGTCATAGTTTGACTATTTAACAGGTCGAATAAATTAGAATAGTTTGACTATTTTAAATGATCATATCAAGTAATCCACCTGGTTGAGAAAGATTGTGCAATTTTTCCAGTTGACCTTTGACTGGTTAACCACTTAAAGCATTTCAGCTAGATTGTTTATTTTGTGTAGTCGAAGTTATTAAGATAGTTATGCATTTTTTTAAGTTAAACCACTGAAGCCAGTTTGATCGTTTGAACTACTGCAAGCAATGGGGAAAGATTATTTAAGCTGTGTATTTAGCAATCTCCGGTGGTTTGACTATTTTACTAGTTGGTAAGACTATCCAAAATAACTTAACTGCACAAATTGCACAATCTATCTTAACTGGTTAAACTAGCACAAATGTTCAAACTAGCTTTAATTGTTGAAGGGGACAAAATGCCTATTTAGCTTAATAGGTTCAACTGCACAAACTTCTCTATCTAGTTTAACTGGTTATAATGGCTAAATAATCAAACTAACGAAAAGAACAAAAGTGCACAAATTGCACTGTCTACCTCAAATTGTCGATGTAGCTCAAATGTTCAGGCTAGATTAATTGGTTCAACCCGAAAAAGATAGGATCAACTTCACCAATTTCACCATGAAGCTTAATTGGCTAATCTCGTTGAATAGTCAGGGTAACCAAGACAGTTGATCAACTTTACAAATTGCACAGTCTTTATGCATTTTCCCCCCTATCCAGCTTGCTAAGTAACTAAAATACTGGGCTGCATCTCCCGGGCTCGTTTACTGGGCACATAAAAATCACACAAACACATTGATCTGGAGTAAAAATGGCTGAGGGCAAAGGCCCAAAGCCGGTTTAATCAGTAATCAAAACTGAATTAATTATTGCCCAAAATATTTGAATCTGGGAAAAATAGCTTGCCCAGTAAAGGTGAGGGCTGAAAAACAACGCCAACAAAATCAACTATTAACTTGAGCTAAAACAAAGACATGTGGCTGGAATAAGGGGAGGAGGTGGGGTACAAACAAACGTGTCACTTGCGAAGAAATCTGAAGTGAATGACTCTGTGAATTCTGTCACGAGTATTAGACTACACAAAAGGTGGGGGGTCAATACATTGCAATACTCGCACCCCTCAACCAGGCCTGTCACGCATCTTGCATTGTCATGTAACGCTCTCTACACGTGACTAACATATATCAGCAATTATCACAATGATAGAACATTAATAATCGGGGAAAAAAGCATAAAAATCCTATTCGCGAGCAAATATTTTCTTTCTTAATTAGTTCAAGTTGTTCGAATTGCCATACTAGGTTCAATAATTAGCCTTAAAAAAATGGATAACTGGCTTAAATGGTTGAACTGCCTAAATAGCGAAACTAAGGAAGAGAGCTAAACTGCTTGAAGTAGTGCAATGGTCGAACTACCTTCAATAGTTGCAATTTAAAAACGGCAATATGTAGCCCAATTTGTTCAAGAAGTCAAAATGATCAAAGTAGCTAAATTAACTCTACCAGTTAAATAGTCAAACCAGCGAAGACAATTATATACACAGTTTCTCCAACCTTAATTCGTTGCAGTAGTTCAACACTCGGTTCAACTAGCTAAAATGGTTCAACTGCACAAAATTCACAACTATGCTAATAAATTCAACTGCACAAACTCTACAATCTAACTGAATTGGTTCGAATTGTTAAAATGGTCAGGCTAGGATAGTTGGTTTTACTTAAAAAAATGGTCAAACTAGCTTAAATAACAAAATGCGTAGCCTTCTGAAATGGTTCAACAGGAGAAAATGCGTGAATAACTTAATCAGTTCAAATGCACAAACTTCACAAGCTGGCTCAAATGCTTCAACTGCTTAATTAGTCAAACAAGTGGACACAAATAAACTGCACACATTGCAAAAGTTATTTTAATTGATCGAAGTAGTTCACACGGTCAAATAAACAACACAAATTGCACTATATATCTTAATTGGTTAAAAAAGATAAATGGTCGACCTAGGTTAAACGGGTCAAGAAGAAAAAACTCAGGACTACCTGATATGGTTGACGTGGAAAAAACCAATGAGTATCTTAAATAGTTCAACCGGCTCAATGTTAAACAGCACAAACTGCACAGTCTATGTTAGTTGGTCGAAGTAGTTTACATAGTTAAATTAGCATAAATAATTCAACTTAACAAAATGCATAAGTATGATATGCACTTTGTCCAGTTCAACCGCTTCAGCTAGCATCAATTTGTCATATGAGATATTTTGACTGTTTTAAACTACCTCGATCAATTAAGAGACATCATAGAATTTTTGAGGTGACTTCATACTAATTAATTTAGTTTGATTATCTTAACTAACTAAACCAATTAAACTTGATAGTGCAGTTTGTGCAATAGCTTAAATGGGTCAACTGGCTAGATGTCAATCGAGCTATAAAAGTTGAGCTGCACAAATTGCACAATCTACCTTAGTTAGTCAAACTAGCTTAAATGGTTGAACTGAAATAAAATGGATAACTAGCTTAATTAGTTCAACTGCACAATCTGGACAATCTAACTAGTGTAATCCATTTAACTGCACATTTTGAACAATTTAGCTCAAATAATTCAACTGGTTTAACAGTCAAACTAAGGTCAACTGAGAAAAATTGTACAATCTATCTCAACTGGTTGAAGTACTTGAAATGGTCAAATTAACTTCGAGGAGTAAGAGGCACAAACTGCAGAATGTAGCTAAATTGCCTGAAGTAGTTAAAATGGCCAAACTTTTTTATTTGATTCGACTGGTTAAATAGTCAAACAAGCAAAGAAAGTTAAACTGTATAGAGTGCAAAATCTTAATAATATTAATTGGTTGAAATAGTCCAAATGGTCAAACTACCTGATATGGCTCAACTCAACAAAAAGCATACCTATCTGAATCGGCTCAAGTGCACAAACAGCACAATCTAGCTTCAATGGTTCAACTGACAAGTACCTAAGGTGGTCAAACTTAGCGTAGGGTTGGGGTCTAATCGGACAAAAAGGATAACCAGCTTAATTGCACTCTCCTTAGTTGCGTCGCATTAAAGAGGTGTTTTTGCTTGTTTGCAGCTAGTCACGCTGATTTTCGCTTTATCTCACTTGATACAACATTTTGGCGATATTTTTTGGCCAAATTACGCTTTTCTCAGCTTTTCGCATTTAAAACATGTCGGTTTGTTTGCAGCTAAATTGGGCTGTTCTGGGCTTGTTCTCACGAAAAGCAACGTTTTCCCATTTTTTGTTCCTAAACTACGCTGTTTTTAGCTATATGACACCGAAAAGATGTTTCTGTTTGTTTGTCGCTAAATTTAGACTGTTTTTAGTTTTATCTCACTGAAGACTAAGTTTTAAGCTTCTATGCAGCCAAATGAAGCCAAATTACGTCTCACCGGAAACGTTTTCCCGCTCGTTCGCCGCTGAATTGAGCAGCTTTTAGCTTTATCACAGCCAAAAGACGTTTCCTACCTGTTTTCAGCTAATCACCCCTAATAAATCTGCAATCATACTAGATCATTGGTTCATATACACAAGCACCATAAGGTAACACTCTGTTAGATGATGATGGATTTAGGGATCAATGCTGCCATCTGGTCACGGCACACGAAATCGAGTACAACGAGGACGTTGAAAAGAAGGAGCGCGTTATACACGAGGTCGAGTATAACGAGGACATTAAAAACAACGTGCTCGTTTTACACAAGATCGAGTATAACGAGGACGTTAAAAAGAACGTCCTCGTTTATTCGATTTCAACGTGCAATGAGCTCGATGCCAACGATCTTCGTAACATCGTGTCCGTTGTCTAACACCGTGCTCGATTTCAGCTTTTCCAAAATTGTTGATTAGATCGTTTATGATGCGAGTAAATTCATGTAATAAAGCAATCAATAGGCATCAGAGTAGGATCAACGAAAATTACAGATTCGAGCTTACAACAAATCTTCATCACAACTTCTGCAAGATGCAGGGCTGTACCAAATTACTAAGTAGAAGGTGGTAGAGATTATTACTATTAGTTGGCTCACCCCAACGCATCTTGAATTGTCTACCGTCAAAACAATGATGTTTCCGGAGGGTTTGACCAACTTCACGGAGATCTGGTGTTCTTGTCTCTAGAAGAAAGTATTGTTCAGTGAGCAAAAGTTGTTACAAGTAGGTCGCTTAATTAATTTTCTTGAAATTTTTTTGAACTTCCCAAATGCTGGAAACTTGAAGCAGCCACCTCAATTTGACTTTGGTACGAATACTCCAATTTAGCCTTCGTCTGGTCCTGTTTTATCCAAAACTTCGTTTAGTGTAATGTCACGAATCAAAAAAAAAAAAAACAGAAAAAGAGAAACTTCTGCCATACATAACTCACCTTAAGCTTAAATCTTACCCAGATACAGCAGTTTACGCTTACATGCAAAATACGTTATACTCTGACAATAAATTAGTCTCAATTAAGTACCTGCGGAAAAGAACGATTGCAGTCGGAAAAAGCGCATCCATTTGCTTCTACTCCTGTTGCTACTGCTGCCGCAGCATGCCCTACCCGTTGCTGTAACTGTCAAATACCATAATGAGAGAACAACCTGCATATTTAGGATTATGTAAGAAACAACTTCCATTTACTTTACTGCAAAGAAAAGGCTTGACCTGTTGTTTTCCTTTGTTAACAAGTTACACAGAAGAAAGTATAGAATATATGAAGTTTACTGTTGGTATACCTTTGTAGAGAGATGGCCTTTACATGGTGGAGGTTCACTGTGGTGTTTCTGATTACCTCCTCTGCTTTCAATTTATCACCTAGTGATAAGAAAATTGGACTATTAATGTATCAAGGCTGATCACTTTCCTCTAACGAAACATGGGGGCATGCACCAACAACATCATATACCTGACAACCACGCAGCACTGACTTGGTCTTTGGTAACACCAACTTGTGTCAGAATCAAGACATGGGCACCACTCGGGGGACGTGGATCTTTACCAACACGTTTGAGTATATGTGACACACAAGGTGATCTGTTGTGTGCCAAAAAGACCAAACAGCTGTCTAACATATTTGTTAGTTGTGTATCCTCGTTAAGTATCCTTTGGAATAAAAGGAACATCCTTCAATCCGTACTAAGAGACAATACGAGACTAGAGATGTACATATTAATATTTGGAAAATTACTAGACAGTCAAGGGCCCAGCCATCACTAAAATTTGCGTTTTTAACAGGAAAAAAAAGAAACATGTACCTTATTGATCTGTGAACAGAAATTTTAACAAGAGGTGGAGTATTTTTCTGATAATTTAAGCTAAAAATAACTACGTTCACTTCTGTACTTCTGGCATGTTCTGTTTAGGGCACTATTAATAACAATTTTACTTTGTTTGATATTTTTTAGCCCACCTGATGACATTGACACTCTCATCACTCTCCTCAAACAAGACCACCGCAATTGGTGTCAGGTCTTGGTGGCTCTGTACAACAGCCCAAACAAATCAAAGAAAGGTGGTTAAAAGGAATGCTGCAAGATAAATACAACCATGCACAGATCAACACTTTCATAAATTTCTAATTGAAATTTAAAGACTGCCTAGAAAACTTGCCTGGTCAAATGTAAATGGTTATGGTTGTAGCCTTTCTCTCTTTCTGAATATAACTTTTAAAATTTAGTGATAAAGATTTTCTGGGAGAGACCAATTAAAATAGGAAGTTGCTCAGATTCTACCTTGCCAAACAGACCCTTCAATTTTGTTACTGAAAGACCATTTGAACTGGTCTAACCTGTTGACATAGATTCCGTAGACTGTGCAGTTACACCGTGTGCGATAGTTTGACTATTTTACTGTATGAACTATTTAACCTAGTTATGCATTTTTTCCAGTTGAACCTTCTATGCTAGTTTGATCATTTGAACTACTGCAACCAACGGAGATAGAATTGTTAAGTCTGTGTACTTAGCTATCTTTGCTGGTTTAACTATTTCATCACATAGTAAAACTTTCAAAAGAGCTAACCTGCACAAATTACACAATCTGTCTTAACTGGTTGAACTAGTCACATGCGCAAACTAGCTTGTATTGTTCAAGGGGACAAAATGCATAACTATGCACTATATACTCTACTCGAACAATTTAATCTTGATGACTATTTGAACCAGTCTAACCTGTTGTGTAAATTGTGCAGCTATACTTTTTCCATAGTTTGACTATTTCATTGTTTGAACTATTTCACCTAGTTATGCATTTTGTCCGGTTAAGCTCCTTAAACTGGTTTGACCATTTAAACTACTTGTGTATTTAACTATCTTCGCTGGTTTTACTATTTAAGCAGTTAGTCGAACTATCCAAATCCCTTTTCACTGGTTAAAATGGTTGGAATGGTTAAACCACCTAAAATTGTTCAAAAGGACAAAATGCATAAACTAGTTGGTTCACCTGATTAAATAATCAAACTGACGAAAGCAGCGAAACTGCAGAAATTGCACAATCTATATCGAATGGTTTAAGTCGTTAATATGTTCAAAGTAGCTGAAAATATTTAACTGGACAAAATGCACACCTAGCTTAAATGGTTTAACTGCACAACTTACCTTAGTTAGTTCAGATAGTGAAATAGTCAAACAGGCTTACTGGGTTGTAGAGCTCAATTAGTTTAATTGGTTTTAACAGTCAAACTAGTTTGAGCATTTTAACTACTTCAAGCTATTGCTTGACGTTAATTTGACCATTTATAGAACTTCAACCAGTGAAGATAGATTGTACAATTTTTCTCAGTAGACCTTAGTTCGACTGTGAGACCGTATTTGAGCTAAATTGTTCAAATTGTGCAGTTGAATGGATTAGGCTGGTTATGCACTTTGTTCAGTTGCAAAAAGATGAACCGGACAAAGTGCATATCATATTTACATATTTTTATTTAAACCATTTAAGCTAGTTTGACTATGTGAACCAAATCCACCAATTAAGATAAATTTTTCAATTTGTGCAGTTTTGCTCAGGTCTCATTGGTTTAACTAGTTAAGATAATCAAACTAGCAAAAACATTTCAACTTCACAAATAGCACAATGCATCTTTACTGGTTGAGGTAGTTTAAAATGGTCAAACTGTAATCGCTCGATTGACATTTAGCCAGTCAAACCATTAAGGCTACTTATTGGTTTTGTCCAGTTTAATCAAATCACCTAGTTCTGAAATTTCTCTTGTTGACCCGTTTAAGTTAGATGAACTGTCGAATTTTTTTAAACAATTAAGATAGATTGTGCAATTTGTTTGACTGCTTTTCCTAGTTTGCCTATTTGACCAGTGAAACCATTTCAGCTAGATTTTGCAGTTTGTGCAGTAACGCCGATTTGTGCATATACTTGTCTTTGCCGGTTGGACTATATACTTGGTTTTAACTAATTAAGCTACTTTGATCATTTAACTTCTCAAACAAATTTTGCTTCATTTTGCCGTTTGTGCACTTTTAGAATTAAAAGTAGTTCGACCATTGCACTACTTCAAGCAGTTTGGCTGTCTTCCCTAGTTTGGCTTTTTAACCAGTTCAACTATTTAAGCCAGTAATGCATTTTGTCCAGTTAAACCATTGAACCTAGTATAGCTATTCGAACAACTTTAACCAATTAAGATAGACTGTGCAATTTGTGCAATTTAACTGTCTCAGCTAGTTTGACTATTTAACGAGTATACCCAATTAGGCTTGATCGTACAGTTGGTACAGTTGATCTTATCAAGTTAGTTATGCATTTTTTGTGGTTTAACCAATTAACGTACTTTGAGCATTTGAACTACATCGACCATTTGAGTTAGAGAGTGAAATTTGTGCACTCCTAATGCTTTCGCTAGTTTAATTATTTAACCACTTTAACCAGTTCAACTAGACTGACTCGTTATCTCTCGTTATCTCTCGTTATCAAATGACACTCCTCTTAAAAAAGACCTTAAATCAGTGACTGTGTTCATAAAGATGGTAAAAGCAAATAAACATAATTCGATCTTCTTGAAATCTTTAATGTCTCAGTACGTTTTTTAATTATGTCACACCACTACCAAGAATAATGCCAGGTAGGATGGGACTCGTTGTTACCTTTCCAGCTATAGTACCACTTACTATTAAACAAGACGATAACAGATTTAGTTTCTTGGACCCTAGGCTTTTCGTAACAATTGAAGCTGCTTATGATAGTATTTGTATGATGATGTAACTTCATTTATTGGTTTTTTGTCCAGTGAGTTATCTGTGATTGAAGTTTATAACACGTCTCTTTTTGAAGCTCAGATATAATATTTTTATATTAGTCAGTTATTTTTTTCTTATCACAAATTGTGCATGAAGCTCAGCATTGAGAGTGTCATTCTCTACACCGAGTGATATGGAATGACCGGTAAATGTTACAAATATTCCAAAAAATGTAACATCTATCTATTGATTGTATATATTTTGTGTAATTACATTGTATCGCTTACTACTGGATCCAGTAGTATCATATGTTTGTAGTAGAAATGTGTTGCAGGCCCGTTGCAACCATATCTTTAATGAAATTCACATGTTCCAACCACATCAAACATTAATTTTTCACTGTATAGTGTGAAATGTAAATCATTGGAAACTGCATATTTTGATCTTGACTATTAGAATTTGGTTTCATTTTTATTATCATGACCCATTTCATAATTAAACAAGTATACAGGTACAAACCCAATGTTGCTGCTTGTTTAACACTATTAAATGTGATTTATATGCAGTGTCATTACTATTTGTTGGCGAAACTAAATTGATTTTTTTATTGGACATATTAAAATCAGCGCACATTGGTTTTGTTAAATCAGTTTGCAATAAGTTGTTTGTTGGTGTGTCCACATATGATTTATTTAGAGCATCATTGGTATCAATTGGTGTGGCTGAATGGAGTATTTTACCATTAGCCATAATGAGATCAGTAGCTATTGCAGCCTTTCCATCAGACCAAATATCTATTCAGAGTGCCATTAGTTATTTCTAACTTCTTATCCCACACACTAAGTAGAACATTATTACGGTGTCCTTAGATGCCATAGCATAGCATAACTTGGAATCAGTAGATGATTTGCCAGCAAGCTTGCTCACCAGGCTCCACCAGCTTCTAGGGTCTGAGGTTTTGAGACTCATCACCTTGCAGCGAAGAATTCTCTCTTGCGCTTACAGATTGCTATGCGTACTTTATTCTTGAGGAGTCGCCATCTATTGTTAGACCCAGAATGATATGCGCGCTGCTGCTCCAGGATTAATGATTTTATTTCGGCAGACATCCAGGGTTTCTCAGTCGGATGTAGTTTGACACTCTTTGCCAAGAAGTAGATGTTGATTGTGTTGCAGAGGTCGTCAGAAAACGACGATGTCAGACTGTCCACCGATAAGGAATCAGCTGCGCACGTGTGCAAACCAGCTATGTACACTAACCCATCTCCCAAAGGCGTTGAGTGCCGACACTGGAAAGCGATGCATTTTAACTACCTTTTTCTTAGCCATCAGATTGTTGGAGCCATGGTTGGAATTGGGTACCCAGTAAACCGAACGGTGGTCAGAAGACCCTAAGTGCACACTTACAACAGGCTTGTTATAATAAGAAGCTAGGTTTGACATCACTAGGTCTAAAATATTATTACTCCTAGTAGGCTCGCGGAAAAGCTGTTTTAGGGTCTGGTTTGCTAAAATGTTCATGACGTTCAGAGTGTTAAAATCACCTAAAAGTAGTACCCCGCAGTCAGGGTGAGCGGACGTAACAGAGTCAATACACTCGATGATATAACTAGCACAAGTGCGTTGTAAGTTAGTGGGTGCTTCAGGGAAGTACATAGCACCAATGATGATGCCAGAGAGTGGACAAGGCAGGCACGGAGGACGAAGCCACAGCCACATGCATTCATGATCTGGTGACTCCAGATCAGACCTCCTTTTGAAGGGAATGCTGGATGAAACAAAAGTGCAAATGCCGCCTCCATGAGTCGAACGGGATGGTGAGAACACTGTCGTCAATCCTATCATTAAACCATGACTCAGTGATGACTGCAATATCCATACGAGTAGATAGTAGCTGGGCAGTAAGCTCGTCAAACTTCTTTTTAAGAGACATGCAT